TCGATTACATAAACCGTTCGACCTAAAACCACAGGGTCAAATGCTGGTTTCAAGACGGGCTGAAAGAGATTCTAGTGAATGACAGTCCTGGAACTGGAGAGGAGCTCAGGTTTTCTACCTCCCCTCAACCTTCCCACCCCACTCCGCCAACGCCCCCAGGTAAACTTGGAATGCAATGTAGCCCAAGGACTGGCTTTGTGATTCCTTATGGCCTGAGGCTTAAGAGCTTTCCTTTGTTGGCAAAACAAAGTAGAAGTGATACGTCTACGGCTGTTCACTCACCCCCACTGGGGCCACAAATCCCTCCCCATCCCACTTCCCAAAAAAGCCCGGAATCCCTGTCTTCTGGAAACACTCATCAAGTTCCTGTGATGGGTATAGAAAGAGCTGTACATTGTTTTCTACCATCTTATAGGATGTGAAAGGAGATAATTCGTGTACACAAATAACTCTACGTGATAGTGTATCTAAGGAAATAATATGAATTACACAGTCCCTGCTGCAAGATTTCCAGGCATGGTGGCAAGAAATCCCTCCAGACAGGAATAATCTCGCTTCACAAAATCATGGCCCTTGAGAAAGGCCTTTTGGTCAGAGGAAAGGGAACAGTAGAAAAAGCACAACTCGGGTTCAAGGAGCAGCACAAGGGTACGTCTCTATGAGATAGTCTAGAGAGATGAGTGGGAGCATATCTGAAAGATGCTGAATGCCAGGTTAGAAATGCAGAGTTTAACATGTGCAAATCAAGAGCCAGTTGAGATTTTTAACAAAGAAAGATTCCATAAGTGTCTTAAAGGAAGATGCGTAGAATAGAATGAAGGAAACACAAGCAAGGAAGCACTTAAAAAATATTATCCCCCCAAATACCCCTGAGTTGGGGGTGGGGAAGCCCAGACTGTTTGCCTGTGAATTCCCACTCCCTCACTTTGGGCTGTGTGACCTTGGGCAAGCTAGTTAACCTCTCTGAGCCTGTTGCTCATCTGTAACACAGGTTAATAAGAGTATGATCCTCATGCGGTTGATGTGTAGATTACTTAGATCTTCTGTGTGAGGCACTTAGTACGGTGGCTGGCATATAGTAAATGCTCACTAAATACTGGTTATAATGTTATGATGCAGATAATGGTATTGTGAGGAAATTGCAGCTCAAATAGATAAAAAACTAACAAGAGGTAAATCTGGGATACAAACCAAAGTCTTCTAACTCAGACCCAGTGTTTTTCTTCCTTGCACACACATTTTAAGAATTTGGGAAAGTCCTAAAATATTTCCTGCAATCTTGTGTTTTGATCTTTATGTCGAAGCACAAACTCTTTCAAGCACAAATTCTTTCATAAACAGAGACCCTGTCGAAGCTCCATTTTCAAAACTCTGAGGAAGAGAGCCAAATTAATTCCTACAGTTAAATGATTTCCAGTTCATAGAGATTTTATATAGCTGAGGATTTAAATTGTCTTTCAGTTGAATCCATTGATTTGCATTTCAATAAGAAAATTTGATAGTATCTATAAACATGCTATAGAACAAAATGTATTTAAACTTTTTTCTGCTCTAAGAGATACACTGTACACTTTGTTTTTAAGTTATCTTGATTTTGAAAGTTTACTTTTTCAGCTGCAAAAAAATCACATGACTATTTGCCTTATTTATGCAAGTGAAACTCAGGTAATTGAGATGGAGTCTTCAGAAGGCAACCATCTGTAACCTAGTGCTATGATAGCACAATATATGCGATGTGATGGCACAATGAAGTTACGATGGCAAAAACAAACCTTTCACAAAGAAATTGACTCATTTTATTTAATTCCAAGCAAGCTTACCACTATGAATGTTTTTCTTTGGCAAGAAATATGTACAATTATTTTAGTTCTACAATGCCACATGAGGAATAGAGAAACTCAAAATATTTTGGCCAGAAATGAATCATGTGATAAAGGGGTGGGTGATGGGGGAGAGAGAGGTGTACCCAAATGCAGGTTCTGCTGCTGGCCACTCAACAGCCAATAAACTGAGGGGCAAGCTTCAGTAGAGAAGAAAGTTGCTTTATTCAGAAAAGCCGGCGATCTGGGGAGAAGGTGGACTTATGTCCAGAGACCAACTCCAAAGATTCTGCTCAGCCATGACAATTTTTTTTTTTTTTTTTTTTTTTTGCGGTACGCGGACCTCTCACTGTTGTGGCCTCTCCCATTGCGGAGCACAGGCTCCGAACGCGCAGGCTCAGCGGCCATGGCTCACGGGCCCAGCCGCTCCACAGCATGTGGGATCTTCCCGGACCAGGTCACGAACCTGTGTCCCCTGCATCGGCAGGCGGACTCTCAACCACTGCGCCACCAGGGAAGCCCAGCCATGACAATTTTTAAAGGGGAAAAAAATCTCAGTTAATTGTTAAGGCAGGAGGTCAGATTCTGCGTCACTTTTCCATTGCGTGCAGGACTGCTGACTTCTCCTAGTCTTCCTTGCCATGCTGTCTTGCTCACGCGGCCTGCCTGCAACTGGTTGTTCTCTTGCCCACGTAATCTGCCTGCGTCCTCAGGCTTCACCTGCAAATTTACTTAGGGGAAGCTAGGGTAGGAGAGTTAGTCATTCTTTAACTACTTAATTCTTTATTCTTTTTTTTTTTGAGGCATTTGCTGCTTTAATAGATGGCTTGTTCCTCTCTTTAATTACAAAAAGAATGAGACCCAAATAAAAAGACTCCTACATTTTTAATAAGTGAAAATGTACAAAACTCAATACTTATTCATATTTACTAGAGCTACAAAGTATAATCACTATCAGAAAATTCTAAAATTAAAATTTGTATTCTCCTCTCCCCTTACTAATCTAATATTTATCAATATTCTAACTAAGCAGAGCATGTAATCCCACATTTGTCTCAGGAGTTACTCCAAGCACTAGATATGACTGGATTTTCAGATAATGAAATGTTTACACTTCATGAGGAACAAAGAAGTTCACCATGAGGCCTATCTTCCCTTCTCCTTCTAAGGACTTTCATTTCTCATGGTTGCCTCCATATTGGGTAACGGTGGCACCATGGGAGACACGACAATCCATGTATTCTTGTAATACATACAGAGTTTTATTAAGAATCCCTGGAAAGGGGGACATTATGTTATATATTGTCAGAATACTTTAAAAAAAATACCAGTCATTTACTTTTTAAACAAGAGAATCTGATTGAATTAAATGTGGGTTAAACTCAATGGACTCTTTTTTTTAATATTATTTATTTCATCAGAAAATATGTGGGAAAAAATTATCTTTTTATTACTTTTAAGAGTGTCACTAGACACTATAGGGCTCAATTCCATAAACTTAGATATTATGGTTCTATATCCCAAATCATGAATTCCTAGAACTTCTAAAAAAGGCACCAGACCTAAGTTCCTGTGAGGTTCCAGTTTCCCTAATTTAACTAACTCTTCTGGTATTTTAATTCACTTGATCTGTTCCTGACCTAACAACAATTATATGAATCCCATTTAGGTTTTCCTGTTATTAACATTTTCATGATTACAAGCCCTCCAATACATTTTATTACATTCATCCTTTTAAAATATCCTCTGTTCAGCATAATTTTGACAATCTCCCTTTTTTTAAATTTTACTCTCATTTATACTAATCGAATGAAACCAAAGATTTGTTTTTCTCTAAGTTTTCACCCTCTTTACATCTGTACATAGATTACTAAATATTTTCAATTCAGAAATATTATCACAAAATAATAGAACCACACATGCATCATAATTATCTTGATCCTGTGAGAAACCTGGTGACGTCAAAATAAACACTTTCAAGGTCAAGAGGAAGAGACTTAGCAGAGCTTTTTTTTTTAAATTTTTATTTTATTTATTTATTTTTAAATTTATTTATTTTTGGCTGCATTAGGTCTTCATTGCTGCACGTGGGCTTTCTCTAGTTTCAGCGAGCGGGGGCTACTCTTCGTTGTGGTGCGCGGGCTTCTCATTGTGGTGGCCCCTTTTGTTGTGGAGCATGGGCTCTAGGTGCGTGGGCTTCATCAGTTGTGGCTTGCATGCTCAGTAGTTGTGGCTCGCAGGCTCAGTAGTTATGGCGCACGGGCTTAGTTGCTCCACGGCATGTGGCATCTTCCTGGACCAGGGCTCAAACCCGAGTCCCCTGCATTGGCAGGCATATTCTTAACCACTGCACCACCATGGAAGTCTGAGACTTAGTAGAGCTTTCTCTGGCATGGTCCATCGTAGTCCAACTTCTGATTGTGATGAGCATTTTAGTCTCAGAGCCCAGAATCCAAATTTTCTTAGAACTCACCGGTGGCATCACTTCTTTTTTTTTTCCCTTATTTTTTCATGACTATTCCTGGGGTTTTCTCTTTTTTTTTTTTTTAATCGAACTTTAGTGATTTTCTCATTTGTACAAGAGTATCAAAATGCAAGGTCTTAACATCATGATAAATTGTCTAGAAACTCATTTACTAAGAACACATAAGACCCTGAAAAGGTTGTCCTGTGATGCCTGAAACATGTTCACAGCTGATTTATGCCAGAACAGAGGCCATGAAGAACTCTGAAGGATAGTCACCAGCTGTTAAGGGTTCCCATTTCCAGGTAAGTACGCTTCTCCATTATGTGCTGCACTTACCAGGTAACATCAGTCTTTTCTTCATCTTCCTTATTTCTTTATGTTAAGGTGATCATCAACTTTATATAAGCACCCACAGATAACTATTCATTATTAGAACACTCACCATATTTAGGCCACTTCCTGAAGACATGTAGAGCAAATCTTAATGCTTTCACTGAGATATTTCCAATATAAATTGTAAAGGAGATTTTTTTTTTCCTACACAGGAAATTACTTAGTATCATCAACAGTATGTGTAGATGATATTATACATCAACTATACCTCAATTTTAAAAATTGAAACAGAACAGTATGTAGGTTCTCAGGCTTTCGTAAGAGATGAGTAAAGTCCCTTTACTCACCTGCTTCCTAACAATGACCCTGGACATTTCAGCTTAGGTCTTGAGGTACATATTCTTTTGGGTCTCCTCAATCCTATACTCATATTTTGAATCTGGTAACAGAAAATAAAACAGGAAATTTATTTTATTTTATTATTATTATTTTTGGTCACGCCACGTGACTTGGAGGATATTAGTTCCCTGATCAGGGATTGAACCCAGGCCTGCAACAGTGAAAGCGTGGAGTCCTAACCACTGGACTGCCAGAGAATTCCCAGGTAATTTTTTTAAAAAAATGATTTAATCTTTGGTCTAATAACTCCAATGTGCAAGTAACGAAATGGAGAATACCCACTTATATACTAACTCACACACTGCTTCTCAACAGGGAAAATGTACTTGTCTAAAAAGGAACATACTAGTTCATTATTTGTGTTAATAATGGAAACAGTAGAACATGTCTGAGAGTATCTTTTCAAGAGTTGCACTAGGGATGGAAATCCAATTTAAGCTTTAGAATTTCAATCATCTGAACTGACACTGTACTGAAAAGCAGAAAAGCAAACAATGCTGACAGAAAATATTCTACATTCTCTCCTGTGGCTTTTACAACCTTTGAAAGGAAATTGGTGCCCACTGAAACTACCAATTTATACTAAAGGAGTATTGGTGCCTTGTATCTGCTCTCCTGTTGAAAAAGTTCTCAGTAAATGCTTTGACTCCCTCACAGCACTGATGGGACTTTTTCTCCAGCATGTTTTTTCCTATGTCTGAAAAGATTCGAGCTCTGACTAAAGGCTTTCCCACATTCATGACATTTGAAGGGTTTCTCCCCAGTGTGGATTCTTCGATGTTGAATCAGGATTGCACTTCGGCTGAAAGTATTTGCACACACGTCACATGTATAAGGTTTCTCTCCACTGTGGATCCTCTGATGTAGATTAAGGGCTGAGCTCTGACTAAAGACTTTCCCACATTCATCACACTTGTGTTGTTTTTTTCGAGGACGGTTTCCCTGTCTTCTTTCAAACTTTCTATCTTGTTCACAGGTTCCTCTAAATGTGAAACTCTGGGAAGCATTCATTTGAAGAGTGTTAGAAACTTTGTAATGCAGTTCTTTGCCTGAAGAAGTCTTTCGCCTTGAAGCTGATTTCACATTTATAGTTCCGGTGTCTCTATCATTTTGTCTTAAGGTGTGAAGCTCCTTCAATGCCCACTGCAGTTGCTTTTTTGTGGGCTTAAGCTGACTACGTGTTGTCTCCTGAGTGATTTCACAAGTTGGTAGCTTCTTTGCAAGCATGTCCTCATTTTGTCCAAGAAAGACCTGTTCAGCCACCGTCTCATGCTCTTTCTCCAGCTCCTCCAGCATCACCACGGCTTCCTCTCCACTCTCTGGTCGGTTCTCTTGAAACCAGGCCTGCAGCTCCTCAGGCAACATGGCCAGGAACTGCTCCAGCACCAGCAGCTCCAGGATCTGCTCCTTGCTGTGCACCTCTGGCCTCAGCCACTGACAGCACAGCTCGCGGAGCCAGCTCAGAGCCTCCCAGGGCCCAGGTGACTCCTGGTAGTCAAACTGCCTGAACCGCTGGCGGTAGGTCTCTGAGCTGTAGTAGCTGCTCCAGTGGCGGCTGGAGACCATATTACAGGCCTGCCCTCCCTCTTCCACCTTCATTACCAGAATGCAGTCAGGGTCCCCTGAAGTTTGTGGAAGGAGTTTTGATGTCTCTCTCAATTTTGCAGACATTTGGACTGGGAATAGCTCAGAACTGCTAGGCTTTAATCTTCAAGAAGGTGAAACTCTCCTTATGGACACTCCTCTGGCCTAGGAAGGACGACCCCACGTTTTGGGGGAGAAGCCGGGGAAGCAATTCTTTATTCTTATTCCTTCTAATCCAGGAAAGGAATCGACAGGTTAGGCAAGGTGTTGTGTATATTTAGAAAAGCAGAAACCAGGAGTTCACTTAAATGTTGCCTAATGATCTCATCTTTATGCTTAAGATCTAAGGAAAACAGGGATGAACAAACACAAAAGGGGCAAGGAGCTGCTTACAGAGGGTTGGAGAAGATAAATGAGAGAAGATCGCTGTCTTGATGTTCTTGCAGAACCATCACTGAGTAGAAGAGTTCAACTCATTCTGTAGAGTTCTAGAAGCCCAAATAAGGACTTAACCATTTGAAATCTGCAGAAATTCCAGTTCAATTTTAGGTACAACTTTCAGTTAGAGTGCTCAAAAAGGAACTTAATGTAGAACTATGTTGTCATATGTATTAAAAACAAAAAAAAAGGTGTGTATGGTGCTGGTTTAAGGAAGGGTGCTACACGCATATGAACACATGTACAAAACCCTCCTGCTACGATACAACAGTGGAGGACTTCCTTGGTGGTGCAGGGGTTAGGAATCCGCCTGCCAATACAGGGCACATGGGTTCGGGCCCTGGTCTGGGAAGATCCCACATACCGCAGAGAGACTAAGCCCGTGCATCACAACTGCTGAGCCTGTGCTTCAGAGCCCGCGAGCCACAACTACTGAGCCCGCGCGCCTAGAGCCGGTGCTCCGCAGCCAGAGAAGCCACCGCAGGGAGAAGCCCGCACACAGCAACGAAGAGTAGCCCCCACTCGCCGCAACTAGAGAAAGCCCGTGCGCAGCAACGAAGACCCAACGCAGCCAAAAATAAATAAATGTTTTAAAAATACAACAATGATTCCACAGGGAGGAGACTGAGGTAGGATGGAGAATTACCCTGTTCAGCATGCTCTTTTGTTCTGCACGCGTTTTTTGTTGTTGTTGTCGTTGTTTGTTTGTTCCTTTTGGCCGATCAGCGTGGCTTGCGGGATCTTAGTTCCCTGATCAGGGACTGAACGTGCGACCTCGACAGTGAAAGTGCCGAGACCTAACTGCTGGACCTCCGGGGAATTCCATGCATGTGTTTTTTTGTTTTTTTTTTTTTGCGGTACGCGGGCCTCTCACTGTTGTGGCCTCTCCCGTTGCGGGCACAGGCTCCGGACGCACAGGCTCAGCGGCCATGGCTCACGGGCCCAGCCGCTCCGCGGCACGTGGGATCTTCCTGGACCGGGGCACGAACCCACGTCGCCTGCATCGGCAGGCGGACTCTCAACCACTGCGCCACCAGGGAAGCCCAGGAATTCCTTTTAAAGCATCAACTCATTGACAAGACTCTGCTTAAGTACCATCAATGTCGGGAAAACTGTTAGGGGGTTCCTTTTCGTTTCATTTTACTCTGTATTAAAACACATGCAAGGTCTTCCCTGGTGGCGCAGTGGTTGAGAGTCCGCCTGCCGATGCAGGCGACGCGGGTTCGTGCCCCGGTCCAGGAAGATCCCACGTGCCGCGGAGCGGCTGGGCCCGTGAGCCATGGCCGCTGAGCCTGTGCGTCCGGAGCCTGTGCCTGCAACGGGAGAGGCCACAACAGTGAGAGGCCCGCATACCGCAAAAAAAAAAAAAATTGGAAATCCTGCTTTGGGTAAGTCCCAGTTCATGACAGGGTCAATACCTAGCCTTTTCATTTAGAGATGCTACGAATGAGGTCATTGAGGCAGGGAGCCCGGGAAAGTGGGGAGCCCTTGATCTCCCCCGTTTCCTTCCAGGCTCCAGGAGAGAAGGGGTGTTAGCCTCTCAGTTGCACAAGCCAGACTCAGCAGTGGTTATCTGAGGCAGACAGAAGCCTGCAAGCCTGTCTTGATTTTTTTTTCCTTATGCTTTTCTGCTTGAACATTTAATCCCTCTTTTAGTTTCAAATCAGCACAGTGGCAGATATTATCAACAACCATTATCCCTGTCCTGAGGTAGTTGTCAACCCGGGGAGAGAAATAGGATCAGCTCTGGGGAAATACCGCCTGGGCTTTGCTTCTGGAGGCTGTAATTGCCTCTGTCAGGAGAGGGATAAAATTCCACTTCCCTCTCTGCTCACAGAAACCAGTGTGAAATTCTCTTCCCCTGCATTCCTCTGGGCTGGTCCTATTGAGAACGAGGCTGGCTCCGGACAAGAAGGAAATTAAAGCAGACTGCCCCAGTTACAAGGTCTCACCAGATCCTTGCAGCTGCTGTGGCCTTCTCCAGGTCTGCTGACCTCCCCCCAGGCACCATGGCCTGCTGACTGCCAAGGCCATCTCACATCCTTAGCTCGTGTCCACTCTGATGGACTTGCCCTTGCCCAGGTTGCCTGATGGATTTAGCACTGATCCCTGACTTGGCCATAATCTTTCTGATGAGGTCACCTTCCTGGCTTTGCACCTTCAGCCTGGTGCTACCTCTGCCTCCTGTGAGTCAAATGGTGTGCACACCCACTTGTCATCGAGGAAGCGAAAAACAAGTTCTTTCCCTCTTGATAAAATACCTGATTACTTTATGCTTTGCATAAAGAGAAATTTGCTTCAGGGAGGACATAATATATAAATGCTGGACTTCCCTGGTGGCGCAGTGGTTACAAATCTGCCTGCCAATGCAGGGCACACGGGTTGAGCCCTGGTCCGGGAAGATCCCACATGCCGTGGAGCAACTAAGCCCGTGTGCCACAACTACTGAGCCCTCACACCACAACTACTGAAGCCCACGTGCCTAGAGCCTGTGCTCTGCAACCAGAGAAGCCACCGCAATGAAGAGTAGCCCCCCGCTCACCACAACTAGAGAGACCTACGTGCAGCAACGAAGACCCAATGCAGCCAAAATTTAATTAATTAAATTTAATTAATTAATTAATTAATTTAAAAATATATATATATATATAGGGCTTCCCTGGTGGCGCAGTGGTTGAGAGTGCGCCTGCCGATGCAGGGGACACGGGTTCGTGCCCCGGTCCGGGAAGATCCCACATGCCGCGGAGCGGCTGGGCCCGTGAGCCATGGCCGCTGAGCCTGCGCGTCCGGAGCCTGTGCTCCACAATGGGAGAGGCCACAACAGTGATAGGCCCACGTCCAGCCAAAAAAAAAATATATATATATATATATATATATATATATATATATAAAACAATGCTGAAAATGGGATCACCTTTTAAAAGGGAGAATGTCTATTCAGCCTAATTCGGGGACTGTTCCTTTTAGCCCCATTGTTCAGACTAACTCTACAGTTTGTGAATTAACCAGATATTTTCCCTTATCTTGTTTGGCCATCTGCCTTGCCTCTCAGTTATTTAGAAAGTGTTTTAATAGCATCTTTACCAATAAGTAAAGAAACAGAAAATGACATTTTTTTGACAGAAGCTTTTTTTGTTTGTTTGTTCATTTGTTTTTTACTATTAGATTATGTGGGAAGAGTAGAATTTTACTAAGGATTGACTTGGATATCTTCTGAAAATGGCAGGCTAAATCACGGGGAACAACTCTTTCACTGAGAAGATTCAGGAAAGCTGCACAAAATATAAGAATACTTTGCTTACAGGCATCAGGGGAACTAACTGCACAGTATGGACTTACGGGGCTGAGATCTATAAAACAATTGAACTGAAGGAGGAGCACCCAGCTGTAGGCCTTCTGTTGTCCCAGGGCATCTGCTAATGCCTGAGAAAGTGACTGAAAGATTGAGAAGCTGAGCAGTTACTATGAAAGCCTTGTGCGGGGACCTCCCGTCTTCATACCTCTCCCTGTGCCTTCAGTGAAATCCTACATATGGCAGGCTCAGTGCAGACTTAGTGATTGGTGAGTACAGGTCACTGATATGAGCTAGTCTAGTCTCCCTTCCTCCAGCATAACTAGAAAGTAAGACTTTGCTTTAGGAATACATGGTAGGTCCTGGCTAAGCTCAAACTAGAACTCAGAGTATGGAGGATGGACATCTGGGAATTCCTCCAGGTGCCCTATTGGCGTGAACTGGTATGAACAGAGACCTTGGTCTGGGGGCTGGTGGGGGATGAAGGGTGGGATGCGTGGATGCCTGAGGAGAATGGGCAGAATGAGGATAAAGAGTGAGGATGGGTAAGCACATGTCACCATCACTATTTTTTTTAATTTTTATTGGAGTAGAGTTGATTTATAACGTCATTAGTTTCAGGTGTACAGCAGAGTGAGTGGGTTATACATAAACGTATACACACTCTTTTTTAGATTCTTTTCCCAAACAGGTCATTACAGAGTAATGAGTAGAGTTCCCTGTGCTGTACAGTAGGTCCTTACTGGTTATCTATTTTGTATATAGTAGTGTGTGTATGTCAGTCCCAGTTTATTCCGCCCCCCACCCCCGTCACTATTGACTGAGGGGGTAGGGCCCCACAGGGGAAGAGATGTGCTCCCCAGAGGCTCTGTCGCAGAGCTGGGAGCCTCTAAGGACCAGGTGACAGACTGGATCACAAAGCTGGTGGGAGGCCCATCCTCTACGGTCTGCACATTTGGTCCTCCATGGACCATTGCAGCCACCTGCAGAGGACAGCAGGATCCAGTCGAGCTGGGTACCCAAGAAGGGTGCAAGCAGCAAAGGCCAGGGCGAGATACCTCAGAAGAAAGCCGGGCAGAAGGACATAACCCAGCCCTGATGGATCCCAGAAATTCCCTGGGGAGTGAGTGGGGCTGGGGAGAATAAAAGGTGCTGAGTTGTCTCATGAGCATGTGGGAACTGAGGCTCTTCATGTTCACAGTGTTAATTCAGTTACACACTGAGTGGGGCCCAGGACCTTTCGCTCCGGATGAGAAATAATAATTTTGGGTGGTGGAGAAGGATAGACTGGGAGTTTGGGATTGTTCTATACACACTGCTATATTTAAAATAGATAACCAACAAGGACCTACTGTGT